AGGCTTTTGTTAATTGCGTTTTTTTTTCTTTGGTTTCTGCTTTTTTCTCACATTTACTGTTAGATATTTCGACATATTTGTTACTGTTTTGCATGCACAATCGAAACATCAATGCGATCAAATTTGTTGCACAAGAAACTGTTTATGGTCGTTTGTCTGCATAAATCTTTCAAATATTAGATGAATTATTTATCTATTTTTTTGAAGAAAAAAAAATGTATTCCATTCCTTAAGAAAAAGTCAAACGTTTTGAAACTTTGATGAAGTAAAACGCTATATCTTATTTCTGCTTGTTGTTGAATTAATTTGTAAGATCAAGAATGTAAAAGAGACAAACAAATCATAGTAATGCAAACTGTATTTTGCATTCATGTATAAATATATCATATCAGCCAAAAGAACAAGAAGACATTTTATCACATAAACCGCAGCACAGGAGTGTAATAAAGCCATTTAATAAAAACATTACATTAGTTTAATACCTAATTATGTTACTATATATAGTAACAAAATCTAGGGTATTTCAGGGCCATTATGGTAAGATCTAGGTCATTATACAATTTCGGCCGCCTTGCTACTCGGTATTTTTTTTCCGTAATTGGCGAGTGAATGAGCGCACGTGCAGAATGACGTAATCAACTCTCATTGACTTTCAAGATGGCTGCTGACGTTCAATGAACAGTTACTGTAGTCACTTGCACACATTTTTTTTTAATTTTAAATAACATAATTAATCACAATCAGCAAAGCTTATCATTGACGATTTAGAAACTCAAGACAATACATGACCCTCAGAAATTCCAAAAATGATTTTAGATTGACTGTATGGATAAGGCCGGATCGTTCGCATTTAGATTATAGGCACTTGGTTTCGGGATAAAAAGCCTTTTGGAGGGTTTGTGGAACTCAAATTTGATTGAATGTAACGATTTTTTTAACGTAGATGTCTCGATTCTAAATTCGTCAGTTTTTCGATATTACCAAAAAAGTGTTCCCTTCAAAAGGCTTTTTATCCCGAAACCAAGTGTCTTCAGTATGATTTAGACCTAGACATTCTCAAAACCGTTCTTGAAGGCACACAACTTCATAAAAAAACTGGCACTAGACCTAAATGTCATTCTCACAAAAATGTAAAGAGTAGGATTCTGTATTTATCGATAAAAACAACAATAAAACAACATTTATTTTGTGTTGTCTTGTTTTAAAAGTTGATCGGACAGTATGACAGATATTTGTTTACATTGACAACCGTCCGTTTCTTAGAAAGGGCGACAACCAAGATTAGCGGCGATGTCTAAGCGCCGTATTTCTGACATAGGTATTAAAGACGTTAATACTTGGTTGCTGCTCGCCATTATGTGATAATGGCCCTCGAGTTCATAATGGTCTTCAGACATACGGCCCTCATGCCATTATGCACATCTTCGGGCCATTATCGCATATTGGCGAGCAGCACCTCTAAGTAATAACACTTTGACGTGACGTTATTTGCGCTATATATAAACATAGTGTTAAAGCGCGGTAATGTTAACATTACATTATAGGTGCGTCAATGAAAATTACTCTTTTTAACAGCTTACCGTTCTTATTTTATTTATGTGATAAATAGAATATTATATTCGTGTGGGTTTAATACTAATTTTATCGAATTCGTTTAATAAAACAATATTATGCTCGCCTGAAGCTCGCATAATATGATTTTCTCGTTCAATAAATTTAGTATTAAACCTACACTCATTCAATATCCTTAATATCACTTATTCTAATGTACACACGCGTACATATTTATTTTCTTTGTTTGCGGCGCACAAACACAGTATAGGTTATATGGCGCCGAAACAGACAAGATGTTTGTGGCTAACCTCGGATGTTACAAACATCAAAGCAACATTAGGGATCAAAACCTACGCACTTGCTGGAGCTAAGAGAAGCGTCGACTAAAGTGATTCGAACAATTTTGTCACCTCGTACGTTAAGGCAGGGATAAACGGTGGCTTTAACTCTTATGCCTCGGCCAATATAGACACCATCTCGTCGAAATGTCAAAACTCCTGTAGATATTGATTTTCTAGGACTGTAACAGTCATAAGGAAAGTATTTGAGAACCGAGTATTTAATTCAAACCGTTTTTTAATGATATCAGCAGTTGTCAGCAAATTATAATTTTACGTGTACATGTCTTAATATGTTCATAACATTACCACAAAAAGACGACAACGGTTAAAATTATGGCAATAGTGTTCGCTAATATTAGAAGAATATGACCTGAATGAGATCATTGTTTCTAATTATTTGCAAAGTGGTATTATAACCTCGAAGAAGATGTATTCGACTGTAATCCTTTCATTTACATCTGTAACACAATGATAAAATTGCAAGCAATTATATTATAATAGTCATTTACTTTAAAAGAAAAATAGGGATAATTGTCTTCCGAAAATAAATATGATACAAGAGACTGTATTCTAGTGTTTGATTAAGAAATTAATATATATCAATTTTAAGTGTTTTTTTTAAAGTTATGTACGGTTAAAGTTCCTAATAGGCCTCAATGATTTATTACAAAGCATTGTTATTATATATCTTTTTCCATTCTAAGACGCTAAGTTAAATACAAAAGAGATTTGGCAGTTTTTTCTCTATTTATAGAACTTTTGAAATTTGTTTTCAGTAATATATATGTCTCTGATTTGATTAAGCAGTGTTTCTATAAAAACAGGACAGTTGTCATGTCCTAAACAAAGAGTGAAAACTTCTGAAAACTTAATGCATAATTTGTAAAGGTCCAATATATCAAACAAGGTCACAATGTGAATATTATTAACATTTAACTTGTATTATGTGGTGAAAAACTAGTTAATGTTTCCATTGCAACACTGATTCTATTGAAACATTTACATTCATAAATGTGCAAAAAGATGTAAAAGCTACCCTTGTACTGAGAACTTACAATATATTCATTTGATTTGAGGTGTAAGTTTAGATGGCAATTTTGTGCCAATTCGGTAATATCGGTTTTTTGAAGTGTCAAAATTGTTAAGTTACAATAAAATTGTTTGGTTTATGAATTCATTACATGTTTGAATTCAATCACCTACAAAATCTGGAAGGAAAACAATTGGTGTATTTGAAAATGAAAACTTGCAGTATTGTGATAACGAAATATGTTTAAAACTAGGAAAAATCGCTTTATTCAGATTAGTTCGTTGCTGTTAACCAAATGTATAAAATAATCGAACAATGTGTTCTTAATTCTGTTTAAGCATACAAATATGAACATTTACTTGAATTTTAATGAATTTCTGACACAGGGCAAATTTTCATCCTTAGTGAAATAGAGAAAAATAGAATCCCTAAAGAAAGCCCAACACAGCAAAATTGTAAAATGTTGCAGGCTCGGTTTGATTGAGCCTGTTCATGGACGGTACTGGAAAGTGCAAGTTACCGTCCACGTCCCCCAGCACCGGCTTAAGCAGAATTCAACATTTAAACACTAAACAATGGTGAAATTTTGAATTAAGAGACGTCCGCAGATGTGTTCATATGGCGATTATCATAGAACCTTTAATGTGCCACAGTTGTGCCATTCCATGAAAAGCGGCATATGGTCCCCAAATAATAATATGCGTGTGCCCTAAACGAGATAACAATGGACGGAACTAAATAAAATGGAATTTTGAAAGGCGATCTTAGATTATGTAGACTGCATATCACAGATAAGACGTCAAAAGACAAATTTAAAAAGCAGGCAACATATCCTAAGGGTGATTATATAGTATTCAAGTAGGAATACTGGAATCATCCAAGTTGAAAAAGGTCAAATACAAGAAACTAAAATACCATCTTAAATGTATACACAACAATAATGTCGTGTTGAACGATCTTCAAGGATTGAAAATATAACATCATTGATTAAATGTGTTGGGAGACTTTTTACAGCCGCCACACGGCACAAATAACACGGATGTGACAATGAAATAGAGAAAAATAGAATCCCTAAAGAAAGCCCAACACAGCAAAATTGTAGAAGTGTTGCAGGCTCGGTTTTATTGAGCCTGTTCATGGACGGTACTGGAAAGTGCAAGTTACCGTCAACGCCCCCTAGCACCGGCTTAAGCAGAATTCAACATTTAAACACTAAACAATGGTAAAATTTTGAATTTAGAGACATCCGCAGATGTGTTCATATGGCGATTATCATGGAACCTTCCATGTGACACGTACAGTTGTGCCATTCCATGAAAAACGGCATATGGTCCCCAAATAATAATATGCGTGTGCCCTAAACGATAAACAATGGGCGGAACTCAATAAAATGGAATTTTGAAAGGGGATCTGAGGTTATGTAGCCTGCATATCACAGATAAGACGTCAAAAGACAAATTTAAAAAGCAGGCAACATATCCTAAGGTTGATTATATACAATATTCAAGTAGGAATACTGGAACCACCCAAGTTGAAAAAGGCCAAATACAAGAAACTAAAATACCATCTTAAATGTATACACAATAACTCAGTCCTTTATCAGAAAAGTTATTCTGTTGATATCTTGCTTCATTTCAAATATCTTCGGTCAAATATCTTGTGTGGAAAGAAACTTAACACACTAGAGGTTGCATTTGCAGCCCAAATATGCTGGAAAATTGTTTGAATGGTTGTTTCGTTTTTTTCTAGCTCAAGAAATTGTCATACTGCTGAATAAGTTATAAAAATTATTCTTCCGTTATTTTCCATAATTATAATGTACTCCAAACTATATACAAATAGTTTACAAGATATTGCTTAATTTATCATTCAGCAGAAATAATTTATTAAGTAACTACATCTTCTTGCAATATACCTTACAATTGTTTTTCAGAATATGTCTCAAGCTTTGTAAAATTAATATGGCTTATTTTATTAATGCACAAAGTATGTATCCCATTCAAAAATAAACAATAGACACAGCTCCGTGTGTGATCAACGTTAATCAATACCTGTATTATAACTGTCAACAAATCTTCACGAGCATTGATCATGTTTAGGAGCATAAAATGTTAAAAAATATTACGTTGCATAATTAAGATATAATGCAATACGGACTTCCGTGTTTAGCCTAAAATGTTATTTCATGATCTTTATTCAAGTATATTTTCCTTAAATTAATGTACAGATAAGAGAGCACGGCATATTTGAACATTTTAACACGATAACTATACTTCATATATTAAATGCACTGACATGTTGAAATCATTATAAGGAATATATTTCAGCAATTTAGGTAAGTTTTGAAACTTTTATATACGAAATATATTTTAATTTTGTATTCATTTTATTTTGTAAAAGCCTGTATATTGGAATAAGAAATAAAACAAACATGTTTAAGCACGCACTATATCATTCGGAGTGTTTCATCTGACTTCATTAGAAATAACTGTTTAATATATGAATAAATCTACATAATTTCTTTTTTATATATTAATCAAAACTGTTTGTTTAATGGCTATAATGATGTTTTCTCATTTTCATCTCATTGTCTTAAATATTTTATATTTATGTACATATAGTTGACTTATATTTATCAAAACTTCATTGAAGGCAAATTCATTGCTTAAACTACATGTTAAATGTATTTTTCGGCGGTTATCCCTTACTAGATTCAGATGGGATATTTTGATATAATGAAAACATGTTGTTAATGTACTAGTTGACTATAACCTTATAATGTTAACAGACGTGACAGATGTTTAATCTTAAATCAAATGTCCCGAAAACTTTACAACAGCAAGGTAGACACGCACACTTACTGAACTGACAAGGGCAAGGATAGATAAAAGTTCGATGATAATAAAGATAGCAAACAATTATATCGATGTTAATATTATCGTGTGCATTTAAGTTTGTTTTCACTTGCACGGATTATCTCTATTTTAGAGGGTTTTTTACGGTATTTCGTTCCTCCTACTCAAATATATCCTGTTTGACAAGAGAAATTTAAAACAAAATCGTATTTGACCATTTCGCGTTCATATAAATTAAAAGGATATGTAACAAGTTTACAGCTTTTTACGGCTGCGAATCCCTTTACATTGAATAGGAGAAAATATGAAAATTTTATCATTTATCCCAAACATGTGTCAATTTAAACCAACTATTGTACATGTAATGGAAGGAACATTGTATGTAATGAGGAAATATATTTTTAAGGCATACTGTGTTAACAAGAATTATCTTTAAAAAGAGTCTTAGCCCTGGTAAACCTAGTTTAAATATTCTGCGTCATTTCTAATTCAGTTTTGCGTTAGTTCTAAGCCCGAATAGATTGTCATTTATTATATACTTAGGACAAATAAAAAATTTGGCTTTATCATACATTTTATTTGCTTACACTATTTCAGAAGTAAGTTCAGTTATATCATAAAGTAAACAATCAAGAATTGTAATCTACAGCAATCCATCTTTAAGTTGTTGTTCCTGGTTCTCATTTTTATTATGAACTTTTACAACTTTGATGGTGTTATTACCAGATATTTCTTAATGGACAACTTTATATGTGTAACATTTATATGAACATGAATTATATACAATGAATAACCAAATGCACACAAAAAATTTCTTTTTACCTTAACGTAACAAATCAATCAAAGCATTTGATTCGATATATTTACATTTTGCATGATGAACATCATTTACACAATTTATTTTAGGATTGGACAGAAAGCTATGGAAGCTTATGAGTGTCATCTTCAAGTTAAACAGTTTACATATAATATGCAGCTCATGGTATTATCATTTATAATGTTCGTTGAACATACATGAAAGGCATTTACAAACAAGTGAGTTATTCTGCAAAAAACAGGTACTAGATCAAACGGCCAAAAACAAGAAATGAAAAAGAAAATCAAAGCATTTAAACCAAACATATTATCTAATATCAGATAACCTTTTCTAAAACCGAATTGGTACATATCTATAAAACCAAAATCTATTGTATTTTTCGGTAAACGAAAACTTAGTATTGAGGTAAACATTTTCATAAAGCCCTCATTTTTAGGCTGGCGATTTGTTTTCAAAATTGCTTGACCATATATATTTTAATCATCTTCTCTGTCTTTCGTTATCAAGACAACCTATCAGAAACCTATGATCATACTTGTCAGCATACGCATTTGCAAATAGGCCCAAAAGGATTTTTTAAAGCAAAAATCTTTGCTAAGATACGCCGTGAAAGTAGCAAGCGTGTTTACGTCTCACACGTTGTAAGAATCGTAATTCTGTTGGGCAAAATTTGAAGTTATTGCTCTTTGTTAATTTTTACACTGATTTTAAAATCTTTTTCGGAACATATTTTTGAAAAAAATAAGATGTATCAACAAGAAACTTTGAAGATAGGTAGATTACAATTAGTGAAAGTGCTGTGCATAAGTCCCGTTACACTGTCTTGCCTTCTCTTGAGTTATTGCCTTTTTATCACTTTTACACTTTATAACTACAAGCTATATCAACAAGAAGTAGTTTATCTGTGTCCAAATACTGTTCGAGAAGCACAACCCGCTTCATAGTTTCGTAGTTTCGTTTCATAGTTTCGTAGTTTCATCCGTTTCATAGTTTCGACTATTGTTTCGTTCTGTTTACTTCATATAAATCACCTATATTTAAAACAATAAAATTCCAATTTTCTTGTAGTAATTGTTTATCATTTTGTGTAGTACATAATTCAGTATTTAGGCCCTGAATCATCCCTATGTATATATATATATACATTCAAATACCGTTATAAACTACTTATGGTCAGTTTTAAAACCCAGGCATTTCCACATGATTTTCTTTTCAATATTATCTTTCTGTGCTTAAAGTTAATTTCAAAGTGTTTAAAGTGAAAGTATCTAGGGAATCTGATCTGATTTCTTGAAAACCTATAAAAAATGTTTATCAAGGTACTAAATGCTAGTATACTTTGTTTTGAAACTTATTCACATACCGAAAGAGTTTCCTTTTGCTGCACAGATTTTAAACTAAACCTGTCACTGTTATCTGTTTGTAATGTCTGCGAACAGTCTTGGGTAAAAGGAGGCCCGTTACAAAACATTAACAATTGTTTCAGTCTGGTGAAAACGATACAAGTCATTGAGTATAAATAATAGCATAAATAATAGAAATACATCTCCTTAATCGCTTGTTGGTTTTGATAATAATTATATCTGGGTTATCAATGTTTTTATACATCGTTTAAACTTATAATACCAAAATGTTTAGCTAAAAATAAAATTGTCATGATCTTTACAACGCAAGTGATACAAGAATTACATTCTGAAATGAAAATTTTCCGGGAAACACCTTTAAAATAAATGAATACTCTTGACATGTATAAGAATATGTATACCTTTTATATTCTCAGGTGATTAAAATGGCAACAATAGACAACGAGAGACATATTCGCTACATGCTTCTTCTTCATGAAGGAGGAATTCTTGTGCTAAGGGAAATTCTTAGAATTGAAACAACCAAAGCAGGTAAGCCCCTTGGCAATATACTGAGTGCTAATGAAGCTGTCTTGAAGCGGAAGATGGACAAGCAAACGTATTCAAATGTGTTTGGTTCCGGCGGAAATCAAGATATTGATACGTGGGACATATCACTTTTAGCGACAATGATTCTTCATCTCTTTGAAAACAGTGTCCCAGGTGACATTAAGAAGTGTATCAGAGACCTCAAGGACTTGAGAAACAATGTTGCTCATTCACCATCTCTGTCCTTAAGTTCAGAAGAATATGAAAACAACAGAAAAAACCTTGCCGCTATTCTTATGAAAATGTGCGTTGGTGTAGATCGGATGGTTTATGACAAATGCCAAAACCTTATAAAAGATGTCGCAGTTGGGCCTATAGATATACGTTCAGCTTTGGAAAGAGTAGAAGAGTTAAAAAAATGTGACAAAGTCATACATACTTTGCTTGAATCTTATTTTCAAAAAATGGAAGAGGTTTCAATCAAAGTTGATGCCGTTTCAAATGAAATGGAAGGCAATTCGATTAAAATGGCAGACATTTCAAGTAAAGTTGAGGTCATTTCTGCTGAAATGAATGATGTTTCAACTAAAGTTGAAGATGTTACCGCTAAGGTGGACGATGTCGCAACTAAGATGAACGATGTCTCAACTATACATGCTATAGTGGAAGGCAATTCAGCTACATTGCAAAGAATTTTCAGTACAGTAGAAGAGTTGAAAGACGTTGCTAAAGAGGTATCTTCAGTAGCAAATGAAGCGATAGGTAAATCTTTCATAAAGCAATGAATATGCTTTGCTTAGAAAACAAACCAAGATATAGTCATGGGGAGATTGTAGTAGGGTTATTTTATCACCACACATTATGTCTTAATTAACGTGCAGGTGTTATAAATTATATTTGCGAAGACATTTGATATTCAATGATTACTTAAGATTGCTTGCATTATGCGTCTAAGCATAAATAACTTTATTACTCAGTAGACACATTCACAAATTTATTTTAACCCAGTCAGAAATGTTTCGCAAGTACCGTAATACTACTTCTGTATCGGAATCACTTTGTTTTAAAGCAGTTTGTTTGAATTTTTTTTAGAAAAATGGATTTTTCCCTTATTAGGCTAAAATTTTGTAAGTGAATAAAATTCAAGTCAAATAGAGCCTGAAACATTTTGAATTTTTCCAAGCCCTAAAGAGTATTTTTTGTCTTTTTTCAATCATAATTATTTCCTTAGAATGTACATGTAAGATGAATGTTAGTTTCAGAGATGTTTTCCGAAATGTCATCAGATGTTGAAGCCAATTTGCGGAAATATCGTCATGAATTTGAAAAGCGTATCAAGGACCCGTCTATCGTATATCATCTTGCAGCACAGTCTGTCATATCTAAAGGTGCGACTATAATACTTTTTCAAATCTTAACATTTAAAAGATATTGTTAGAAACTGTCCTAAGGTTTATTTCATACGTTTTTTTAATTCATTTTATGACAGATTTTTTTCTTTATACACGCCGTTAATCTTTTGTTACCGATTTTGTTCATTTTTTGTGTTAATTGTGAAAAGATGTTTCGTCAAAAAAGAGATTAGAAGAAGGTCAAATAAGGTAAATTAAAGTGGTAATTTCCTTTACTATCTGTTGTTTAAATGTGGTTATTTTGTTATGGTTTAGATGAGAGCACAGTAATTACCGCGATATATTTTATTTGTTTTATCTTATTTCTGTTTTAAGAGATTTCTTCGAGGATAACTGATCTGTATATTGTTGGAGAGACAATAAAGGCATCTAAAGAGTTGATTGACGCAGTTATGAATTCAAAAGAACCTGGGAAATGGCAATCATTTGTAGAGTCCATTGAAAGAGCAGGTAGAATTTTTTCTTGATTTGAAAAAATAATGCTGCGTTAAAGACAAAGGCGTGGAAGAAAATGATATTTTGGTATTTTATACATTAGTTTAATATGAAATTGAGATGCATTATGTTCACAATTAACATTTTAAAATACTGATATCTGCGATACAGTCTGTACCTTTTTCTTTATATATCTATTTATCTTTTTTATATAAACTATTTATATATTATTATTATTAATATTTTACGTTTTAGACATCGCTATTGGTTAACACAGTATAAATTGGTATTCCTTAAAACAAACTAGAATATTTTTTTATTTAGAAAAGGACCAAATTTTGACTAATTATATGGTTTAAGCTTCCTAAACATAGTTTTTGCATATGTTTTCATTCAAATTATAGATATGTAGTAAGAATAACCTACATTCCTAATAACTTTTCCAATAAAAGTATTTTATCTAAATGAAAGATGAACATAGTGTATCAGAAAATTACAAAATAGACCTTACTATACCAATTACAGATTATCCGTATTTGAAGCAGCTGTTGTTATCACCAACCGCCTATGACCAATTTTCGTCTACTCATGCCCAGAGAAACATATGTTTGTTTAGCTCACGTCTTGTAAACTCGATAAGTGCGGTGGAATTATTGCCAGAGTTTATAAAAAGAGGTGTATTAAATCATATAGATTCAGAAGTTACCATAAGAACGGACAGAACTAAAGGCAACACATATGCTGCAATGATTCTCCTAGATAAAATGCAATGTAGAAAGTCACCTCAAGAATGGTATTATGAGTTTTTAGATTTACTGATGGAGATGAACTTCCAGCATATATTGAACGAACTTGAACCGGACTTTATTGAAAATCCTTCAGCATTTATGCCCAACCTAGGTAATAATCATTCATAGTGCGCGCCTCGCAATTCAGAAAACAATTTGTTTTTTATCTAAGTATCATAATATAGTGTAAATACTAGAAAACGACGAAATATAAAATACTAGGAAATGGCATAATTGGGTTTTCTGTCTATTATCTGACAATATTTACCCTTATAACATTGAAATATTCTGGTAATCTTTACACAGTTGTTCATATGAAATTCTTATTACACGAATGCACAAACTATATAGTATTGCATACATAGATTTTGAACAAGCACTACGATAATGCGTTAGTTATGATAATAAATGGAAATTGCAAATTTTAATTTTGGAACGCAATATTGTTAGCGTTGTTTGTCTATTACCATGTTTGCTTTTCTGTCTGTAATCAGATCAAGGAAGCCATGTACAACTGTAATGAAAAGTGATAAGCTACGACATTATTGTATATTAAACTTGTGACTTTTTCAAGATCATGGCAAAAGTCATTATATTTAATGAGCAACACACATATCGTATTATGATATGTTTATCCTATTATTTTTATCTGTTATCATATCTTCCATGAAGCATTCATTAATGAAGACCAGAAAGTCGAACATGTGTTATCTCTAGGATGGAATTAAGTCACATAATGATATATATTATAATATCACAAATAAAGAAACACTACATTTGTGTTTTTTTTAAATATCATATGTAACTATTATGTTTAAAATACCAAAAAGAAAAATTATCAGATTCAAATGAAATTTCACAGAGATGTGTGTCAAATGTTTTATAGATACAATCATATCAAATAAAAAAGAAGAAACTATGGTCAGTCAAAGAAAGGAATTTGAAGAAGAACAAGGCGCATACGGGTCATTACATGAACATTTTGTTGAAGGTAAATATAATTTAATTATTTATTGAACAAATTGCAAAATGTTAATCATGATTTGTTTATCATAAATCGTTGACAGTTAAACATATTTGGACAAAATATTAGACTTAACATATACATAATATAAATAGAATGCGAATTTTCATTTTCAAGATACATATTACAATAACATCGTAAATAAATATTAAATAATGTTTTACAAATCTAAACGTATACATAAAAACTGTCATTTTGGTAAATATAAGAAGTTACTAAATATTAAGAAAATACTCTCCTGAATAATCTAGTTTAACATATCCTATCTTTGGCATAGTTTATGTTTCTGCATATAAGGTTACACAGCGATCTATAAATATAAAAAAGTCATTAATGTAATTATTTAATGAAGAAGATATTTAACCTTTTTAATTGATTATCAGCATATTATGAGACGTTATTGAATTTGAATGAAAGCGCATGGTATTATGAAATAGCATACACTTGACGTTTTTTATCTTCTCATATTTTTAAAGTAATATTTCAGCATATTACTTTCAAAAAATAATTTTACTGGTGATAAGTGAGCAGAATATTTATATAATTTTCCAATAACAACTGCATTTGTGTATTGCTACATTTGTTAAGTTATATGTGATCAGAGATGGCACAGTGTCGTATCATATTCCGCTTATACAATTTTCCTGAAAACAATGTATTGACTTCACTACAACAATTCTGTCAGAGACATTGCATATTAATTTTTATGTATTTACTTATTACCATAAATTATATTATTCTTAGACAGAGGTGAGGGTTACGAGGATACAAATGACTTAGGAGCACCTTCATTACCCACAATGAGGCAGGACTCACCCTTGACATCCACCGAGTATCATATTGACAGCTTACAGACGAATTTAAAGGAGCTCAATATAAAACCTGACATGACAAAATCTCTTTCAATTGGTAAAAATATGCTGTCTTTATTGTAGTTGTTGGGTACTGTAGGCGACAGAATATTATGGCAATATCGCCTTCCACAAAGCGTGCATTTTGCCATCAGATGTTTATCCTTTTTTAATTGATTGGTACGATTATTGTAATATTTATCAGTATATTATCCCCTTTATGCATACAATAAGAAAACTTATGCAAATAATGAATATTCTCATTATATCTTGACTTCATAAGGTTGTTTCACACACAATGACAGCAACTGCAAAGGAATTCTCAACTTTATTTTTT